TCCTGCTGAGCTCATCTCAAGACACATTTTATCTTTTAACAGATGTGTTTTCTCAGTTGAACTCCACAGCTGACAATGTCTGCCGCCCAGATCGACTCCTCGGGACGGGACTTAAAAGCCAAAAGGAGTGGTCAGGCCACCTCTCCATCTCGCGGAATAAATTAAATGAAATTAAATTTCACTTATTACATGCAATATACTCATGATATTCTGCTAGAAGACAAAAAAATCTACATATGGAACATAAAAAACTTAAAAAACATAATATGTTATTTCCAAAAGCACAAAATGTTATTCCCAATAGCACAACAGAATCTTGAGAAATACAATAGCGCCGCTTATTAGTACACTCATAGTGTACTAGTACACTCATAGTGTACTACGAAAGGACTAAAAATTAATGAGATTTTACACAAAACAAGCATAAATCTGCATAATATATTGTTTTCAACAAAACAACACGATTACATAAAATTTTTTTTGAGAAATCAAACAAGAAACTCATCAGTAAATTCGATAATACAACATGGTATATTGTTAAAAGGCATCAATAAATTGATAATTTCTTGAATTACACCAACTTAAACCAAAGTGGATTATGCATAGGTATTGTTTTTTAAATTCAAAGAGTACGCTCCGAGTGTATTACCAAAAGAAATCATATATCTATTGAAGTAAAACAACTTAAACCAATGTTATAACAATGTACATGTGAAATAAGCATGTGAAGTAATTATAAAAATATAATATTTTACTAAAGATCAGCCAAATTCCTTAGTGATTATTTGGTAAATTGTTCCGAAGTTTAATGTTAGAAGTTCTTCATGAATGTCATTTAACATGTCGCACACAAAACCTTAACCTCGCTCAAAAAACCTAAACCCCATGAACTAAACATGTGAAATAAGCAAACAACCTAACCTCATTTGAAATGTCTATACATGTGAAATAACCAAGTGAAGTAACCATTAAAACCCAATGTTTTACTAAAGTTTGACCAAATTGCTATCATGATTGCTCTACAGTTCACACTCTGACAATTGATTGTCTGCCTTCTTCGCGAATGTTGCTCAAAATGTGGCGCATAAATCTCTAACCTCATTTTTCAACTAGAATGTTAAATAGAGAATGTAGGCGGACACGGGTATTAGAATTAACTCCCCCCCATTCCAAATTTCGGGCTTTGCCAGGTCGGGCTAAAATTAGATGTCAAACACATCATCTAATAAAGCTTTTGGACCGACCACGTGTCTGTATCTTATTGGAGTCTGGATGTAACTCTACATCTGGACTCTGGATGTAATTTTTTTTTCCGCACACAGAGTTGTGTGCTTGGTACTGCATTCGAGACAACAAGTGCAGAGAGGCTAGCCCTAGGGTGTGTTCGAACAAGCAAGAATAGTAGCAAGGATACAAGATTTGAATAGGACGTGTAGTCCCATTGTTTCGGCCTTTAGGAGAAGAGGGTGATGAGATTTGGGTCGTTGGGCGATTCATAGGTTTTCATTCACATCGAACCAATCGCTGCTTTTCCCGCTAGCAGTCGTCACAACTAAATCGCAAAGCTCATGATCACGGCGGAAAGAAGGTTCGATCGGCCTTTGTTTGCAAATGGTGGAAGAAGAGGCAAGGGCTTCTGCGTGTAAAACAATGAAGATGATGATTTGATTTTGATCTTCAGGAGTTTGATTTGCTAGAAAGAAAATGAGGGCCTCCTACGGTTATGGTAACGATGAGCGAATGAGTAAAGCAAGAACAGTTGCAATATGGAGAAGCGGGATTAAGTAGAGTTTCAGACTTTTTTTTTTATTATTTATTATTATTATTTCTTTTTTTAAAGGTCAATATTTATTGATTATGAAAATATTGTATTTTATAATATTTTAAGAAATAGGCCTAAGAGAAGGCTCAAATCATAAAGCAACTCTTTGCAATTTAAAAGTAAGATCACATACATCATTTCCTGCTCATCTTACACTGATAGGAGCCTAACACACAGGGATCACTCTTTTCACCCGACATACCTTAAATAGAATATTAATCTTGTAAGGATCATTGACCAATCATAAAATAATAAAAAATACCTTATAAGTTGACATAAGGTGTTGATATAGGTCGTCATGAGTTACCCCAGATGACATTTCCACGTAAATGGTAGACTGCATGCCCCGGCTCTGTTAAAGACATTCAATAATAAAAGACTTCAAGAGGCATACAGGAGGAAAAAACAAAGCATAAACAAGTCGGAACCAAATCTGAATTGCATAGTTACCATTGGAATCAAATGAGGTGTGAAGCTGACTGTTACACTAGAACGTGATGCATCTGAAAGCCCTTGTTCAATTTCCGGAACTGAGATGATAAAAAATGAGCAAATTAACACCCTGCCCAAATGGATTGTTATGAAGCTCAAATTCATCAAAAGGATACTAATGTGTGGCAAAAAGCACTTACATATCATTTTTAAAGCAAAAAATTCCTGGTATGATCTCCGAACTTAACTTTAGGAAGATTTTACATACATGCCACTCCATTCCTAAATATTTTTATATCTAATACGCAAACTTCAATGTTTACATATATAACACCTTAACTATGCATGAAAAGTTGTATTTCACATTTTGATAAAATGGTGGTATTTTTGATGTGATATGAATGAATTACGTGTTATAAATGTGAAAGTAAAGTTTAGGTGTTACATACGTAAATACATAAGAATTGTGTGGTATGTATGAAAATGCCCCTTAATTTTATTGAAGAAAAGCTGAATTTGATCTTTATTCTATTCAAGATTGTGAGGATTATGGTCTTCAACAAAAAATGGTTACATAACAAGTTTGAAGAGAGTAAATCTACATCCATCCAAAATCTACAATCAAACAATCCTTGAGAGGGATAATAATAACTTACTTTAACAAATTACCCATTAGAAAAGAGTGGCATTTCATTCAGCATAGTATGGACACTTACATCTGATAAACATTTTTTTTTTAAATATGAGAAATATAACTGATTGTTAAACTGAAGCTATACTGATTGTTAAACCCAAAACCAATACTATGAGAAGTGACGGATAGACCTGATGCTAAACTGCTTTATTTCGATGCCAAAAACACAATCAGACATATGCTAACCTTATTATTCATTAGGACTGATTGTTCTTTAACATAATATAATTAAAATATTATTCAAAGAAAAAATAACAAGTAGTTCTCATGGTCTACTATTCTCCATTGATAAACAAACCTGCAGATCTATAAAAAAACTGTCAAATAATGCCTGAAAATGCTAAGGGACGAGCACTAGCAATACATCAAATATTTCATAGGCAGTGAAGGTCGTAAGGTCACTAGCAACCAATGATGATGAGCTGATAGAAAGTGGCCTCTAAGAAGAAACACACAAAGTTGTGCTAACTATTCTATTAAGAAAGAAGAGAAAAGACTAAGAATGAAGTTGCCTCAACTAAAAGCTACTATTAAACAACCACTGAAAAATACACTGGCAGCAGTTGCTCTCTTTTGATTGTGGATTGTATGAATCTGGAAAACCACCACTAGCCATCTCAACTGAGAAATATTCAAAGAAGCAAGGTGATTAAGAAAACTTCAATGTCAGAGAAGAAGTCAAAAGTTAGAAAAGGTGAAGGCATCAGCGTCAGCATCGTGTCAGTGACACTTCTTGAAAGGGCAAAGATGAAGAGAAATGCGAGAAGGTAGGTTTTGGGATAGGAAGGGTCAGGATCGGGAGTGGGATGGGTGGGTTGTTATGAAAATATGTTTTTAAAACTTTAGAACAAATTTTTATTTGCTTTTGAAGATTTTAAAAATGAGAACCAACTGTTTAAAAACAAAATAATAAAAACTAATAAAAAAACATGTTATTTATTTATTTCTAGTTTTTTTAAAAACAAAAACACAACATAAATTGATTCCAAGCAGATCTTAAGAATATTATGTAAGTGTTTCCAAATTCTTCAAGGATTAATTAAGTGAAGCCAATTGGTCGATGTACAACTTCGATTTTCTCAAGCTTTATCCGATGGATGCTCCCTCACTTCTTGTGGGTTTGAATTCTTCTTTTTCTATGCAAGAAATCAAAATGCAATTTTTGATTTTAGTGCCTTCCAGGGCCAATCAGATTTCCTAACAAACTCTTTTAAGTTTTATGGGAATCCATTATGCTTAATGTTATGAAAATGTTCGATGTATAAAAGTTTCAAAATAATCGCCAGATTCTTTGCAAGGGCCATTTTAATCCCAGAATTTATAAAAATATTAATTTAGCTCCAGTCTCTTTTTATATAGGTTAAAATAGCCCTCAATGAGGACTATTTTAACCCCCATTAAAAAACTCCGAGAACTAATTTAGTACTTTTATAAATACTAAGACTAAAATAGGCTCATGTAAATAGCCAAATGATTATTTTGGCACTTTACTCATGTTCAATTATATCTACTGTGATAATGCTTCCTTAGTCAAAAGCTTAATTCTGCTCAGTTCGCCTTATCCCAAAAAAAATTATTTAAATTTTTGGAAGATTATAGATATATCAGTCTCCTCAACGATGCTTTCAAACGAAATACCGATTAATATACTTAAATTCTTAATGCCTGATCTAGTTGATTCTTCTCAAGGGATTTTCATTCAGCATAGCTTATGAAATTATTCACCATGTACTTAGAAGAAAGTAAAATATATTCAACTTCAAAGTTGACTTCGAAAAGGCTTTTATAGTTGTGATAGGAATTTTATTTTTACTAAATATGCCAGCAGTTCTTTTTGTCCATTTTTCATCTCTTAGATTGAAGTATCCATCGTTCATATCATATTCCAAGGTATTCTGATTGAAAAGTAATCAGTTCAGATGTCAGAAGGAATCATAGATAAAGGTATCCACTTTCTCCCCTCATTTCCAATATTGTGGTGAATGTGCTTTAAAAATGCTCTTGGAGGCAAATTATATTGGATGGATTGATGGTGATGGTGTTCAATTTTTCTCAAAGAGATTTTAGCATTCAATTTGTAGATAATACTTTTTTTTGGTGCTAACAAACAACATGCTCTCTTTCTAAAGCCCGTTTTCTATTTGTTTGATGATATATCATGTTTGAAAATCAATTACACCAAACCCTCTCTTATTTACCTTAATAATAAAGAAGGTGAAAAGCAAGCTTTGCTCAAGTGTTAAATTGTTCCATGAAAAAAATTCCCAACAAGCGTATGAGTATCCTACTAGGTGCAAAAAGGTTGCAAAAATTCTATTCTCACTTCTATTCATTTATACTACCTTTCCCTTTTTTGGACACCATGGTATTAAAAAATTTTCTTGCGGAAATGTTAGGAAAGACCATGATAATCTCAGCATGGTAGCTAGGAAATATCTACGAGTACAAAGAATTAGTTAGACTCAGTATTAAAGATCTCAGAGCTTTAATTTTTTCTCTTTTAAGGAAGTGAATGCAAAAATCCTCAACCCCTAATGAATCTACTCTAGCTGATTTTGTCAATATATACAAACATAAATAATCGGTAATCGTGACTCTTTTTTGTTTTGGATAAAAAAGAATTCTCTGACTTGCTCTTCCACTTTCATCACTGGTTTCATAAGTCTATCCAACCTTACCTCATTAAGGTTGCAATGAATTTTAATAATGGCCTGTTTAGCATTTTTGGATTCATGAATTGATAAAAAATTTCCTTATTCTATCATTCAAAGAGTTCTTAGACATTATTTTGTACCTGTTTCATTCCCAGTTAAATCTCAATATATTACTGACTTAGGTTGACATGTTGAATTAAAAAGACTATTTTTTTTGACTATCTAATGATATTAATCATTTTTATTCAATCATTAACGAAGTAAATTATCAATCAATACTTTTAATAATCTTGCTTGATTACTTACTAAAAGCAATTTCAGTGTGAAGTTGATTTATAATTTCCTGAAGAAAAGCTGTATTACTCTTGCACTCATTGGATTTAGTGTGCAATTATTCCTATTTAGAAGTCTATTCATGCTCGGATGGTCAATATGACAAAAAAGTTAAGTTCATCCCTACAACTTTGGCATATCAATTCTCACATTTGAATATGTGCAATGTTGCTCCAGAATAATTTCAGCATGAAATCAATGATTTTCACCTTCGATTCAAGGGCTAGGTTATAAATGGTATTTGGAGGAGACTATATATCTACTTGGTACTCATCTTGAAATTCTAAACAAAGCATCCACTCAACATTTACATCATGAGGTCAAACATCAACAACGACTTGATTGACCTTCAAAACTTCCATTTAGAAACCTTTTGGACCATTTTAGTTGAACGATATCATAAGATCTTCATGAAAAAATTATTTGGTTAGACATTCTAATCTTGATTTACCCATAGATAAATCATGATAAAGAAAGATAGTTGAACAGTTTAAAATTAATTTTGAATTCTCCCTCATGATCAAACACAAATTGAGAGCTATTTCTGACTATTTGCTAATTTTGTTTATGATTTTCTAAATTTACTCTCTTTTTTTATTCTATTCCTTCTCATGTTACTTTTTTCATGACTAACCTTTTTGTTCATTGAGAATGGTTCTTCCCAAATTTTCACTTCAACAAAATTCTGTAAAAAGTTAAAATATATAGCTGCTGCAGCTAAATAATGCATTAACGAAAAAACCAGAATGCTGTCACTCCTTTTTTTCTTCCCTTTGAAAAGGAAAGAAGAAAAGAATTCAGAAGTTTTATAAGGGATTACCATGTCTATGCTTGGAAATTCCATATGAATGAATGCCTTCGGAAATTTCTGTGTAAAGGTTGGCCTCCTTAGCTCCCCTTCCTTCATTGACACATTAACAAAAGCAATTCAAATGGCAGTAAATATCAACTATTCACAACTCGCTTTATTTGAGTAGAGAGTTGATAAAACTAAGAAGGATGATTACAAACCCGCCCCACTGACACCAGATTTTGCATCGATGATGATGTTTTTTAAATCAATTAAGTGAGCCTGAAACCAAGAAAAACATTATTAGTAACTTATTTCTTGCAGTTGCAATAACTTCTAAACTGTCTTAACACTAATACTTTAGGCTGGGATCATGTGGTATGCATTTAAATTCATTTCAACAGGTGAACCCCATTTGTTTCAGAGAATCTATTCAAGTAGTACGCCAATGAAAAGAGACCTTCCAATTTACTCTAAAATAAAGAGTTCATCCCCCTTTAACATAATAGGAAGTGTAGAATTGTTGAAGGAATTTTATTTCTTTCAAATCATGCATTACACCTTGCTACATATATATAATAAAGAAAGGAAACCAAGTAGGAATCCTCCAAATTAGAAAAATAGGAAAATGAAATATCTAATAAAGGAAACATAATTAGTAAAAGCTATTTTAAAGAAGGAAATAAATTCCCTTCTAATGCAGATAGACACTTTCCAATAATGCCCCTCAAGTTGGATTGTACATATTGTAGAAAGCAAGCTTACACTTCGATTCATCATGATTGATCCTTGGCAGTGCTTTGGTGAGAATATCAGCAGTCTGAAGCCGTGTAGGAACATAGCTGAGTTGAACATGTCCATTATTGACACTTGGTAGTGCTTTGGTGAGAATATCAACAGTCTGAAGCCGTGTAGGAACATAGCTGAGCTTAACATGTCCATTATTAAAATTTTTTGAGATGAAGTGTCTGTCAATCTCGATGTATTTTGTTTTGTTATAGAGTGTAAGTTTTTTCGGCTATACTAATACTTGTTTGGCTATTACTGAACATCTTATTGTGTCTTTCATCTCAATCTTAAATTCTTTTAATAGTCTTTGAATTCGCATTTCCTTACATATTCTTAGTGCAAGAGCACAATATTCGAATTCTACACTATTCCAAAAGACAACTTGCTTTTTACTTCTCCACGTGATGAGATTGCCAAGGACGTATGAATAGTATCTAGTGGTTGTTTCCTATCAGTTATCTCTCCTACCAAGCTAGTATCTGTGTATATCTCAATCTCGTCATTTTCAGATCAAACCATTTTCAAATTCTATTCATGGCTTCCAAGGATTATTCATATGTTGGCTTACTGCACTGACTGAGTATGCAATATCAGCTTATACGTGTGATAGTTAAAGTAGTTTGCCCACAGTTCTTTGATATCTTCTTTGTTAATTGAACTGCTTTCTTCACTTATGCTCAATCTTTTGTTGGAATTCATGGGTGTGTTTGATGGTTTACACTTAAGCATGCCAATTTCGCTTAACAGGTCTAAGATGTACTTTTGAGACCTGACAATTCCATCATACCAAACAACCTCCATTCCCAAAACCTATCAGAGATTCCTGGGGTTCTTGATCTCAAATTATGTTGCAAGGATCATACGATAGAATTTTACTTGAGCATAAGTTAGAATTTTATTGATTATAATCAAGAAGCTGAAGCGGAACAACTTTCAAATTTCAAAATTCAGCGAAGAGGGTATGCCCTTATAACCAGGTGAGAGTTTGTCATTTCTACTTAAGATAATTATATATATTGGAAATTAATTGAGAAAATGTCAAAACCTAAACATAAAACATGTTTTTCGATAAAATTTTAAGGGAATGAAACCTTGATAAATTAAGTTTACAAGTTATTCTTTTATTGGAAGAATTTTATTATGCAAACTTTGTAATGCAAGAATTTCATAAGAACGAATATCGAACTTTATTTAATGAAGTTTTATGAACCTTATAAAATTATTACTCTCTAAATGCTTATTATCTAACAATTATTAAATTATAATAAATGCGCCTCCATGGAATTATTTTATTCAAATGTATATTTATATAATCATCATTTTATAACATATGAAATAAGTTATAATACTTTTATTTTTTGTTATAATAGTTATAATGGACGAAAACTAATCAAGTTAAAATTAAATATTAAGTGTCTGCAAGAATCGTAAGAAGAAATTTCAATAAATGCATTAATGTCACATTGAATAAAATAATGGGATAATGGGCTTTCATTTTATTAATTATAATACATTGGTAATATAACAAATAATTATAAATTATATATAAATACATTTAGCTTATGAATAAAATTGGGTTTGATCTGTATAATTGAGTATTGAGGAAACAAGTATAAGGTTTAAGAAAAACTAGTGAGAAATTAAGATGAGTAATTATGCTTTTAAATTACAATAATATTTCTATTTTTATATATATTCATGCTTGCATTTTTTTCTATTATGTCTTATGCCAGTGAAATTATATATGATTTTTATATTATCAGTCATGAAATATGCATGTTAAATATTGTTGTCTTAATAGTTTCATAATAGTTTAGTTTATAAACATATCAGACCATCACTTGGCCCTTATATTTTAGTAGAGGTGTATAAGTTAGTTTATTGTATGACCATATGTATATGTAAAATTATTACTTGATCTTTAGAATTAAAGTAAATATGCATCTATTATTTTATCATAAGATCATAGATTCTAGTAGAGTTGCATTATTCTTAGTAGATAGATACAAGTTGTGTCTCATATTAATGTAATAAATGTCCTAAAGAAAGAAATGAAAAAATTACACGCATAGATGCTTGTATGTGCATAAAAACAGAGCTCGGTCCTTTATGATTCAATCAGGGGATGTCAATGTACTCACATGCGTAGATGTTATCTTACAACAACAGAAAATTGTGATGTTTAGATTGCTAGCTGCTATGTCGATTGCAGAATATTAGTTAGGAACTAAAAAACACCTTTTCATGTTAGACAGCATGTAAATTAAATCACGAATCACAGTGTCAATAAGATAATATCGGTCAGGAGTGTGTTAAGTTATGTTTTACCAATGTCCCTAAGATCGATATGAAAGTTAAGACCATGAATTAAAAGTAAACTTAAAGATTAAATATTGAAGAGCAAAATGCATATCAAAGTATAAATTTCTTCCATTGAGTAAATGTCATGAACACATACATTAGAATATTATAGGATTTCCTATAATGAAATATGAAAGATCGACATACATATTATCTTCTTTTAATTGGGTTACTGTAGTTTAGAAGTGTGATAGCTCCATTTAGTTATTTTAGATAACTCATTATGTTGTTTTAATAATTTTTCATGTTTTAAGGTTATGAATAAAATGAATAATAGAGAAGCTAACATGTATAAAAGACATGATCAGCAATCGAAAAGTTAAAACTTTTACTTGTTAATTAAATTATTTTTTTAGTAGTTGTTTCATGATTATTTGAATATTAAATTGTTATTGATAGAATTAGAATATAGAAAAATTCAACCGTCCGACCGTATGTTCCCGCCTGGTTAATTTCAAGCTTCGAGTCAAGTCGTGACACCTTAAGCAACATCTAAGAGCTATTATTGATTTCCACTTTCTGAAATGCCTACAACGGCTTCTATTGCAATCACACACAATATACTTAGTGAAGATGACATATTTTTATTTCAAACCTACAAGTTAAATAGCTTGTGAAATCTTTTAAGCACAAGTGTCTGAAATTAAAAAAGATTCAAGATATTTATAAATTATTTTCACTCTTAAATAGTTGTTACTATCAAATGTAAACTATTTAATTGTCCCATTTTTATTGAACTATGTTTCAAAGAAAAAAATTTACCTTGACATGTTATATTTGTGGTTTTCTTGACATTCAAGCCTAGTATTTAGCTCATCAACAAATAAGAAAAAGGAAATATTTCTAAAGTCATGGTAAAGTAGGTTTGAATTGGTCATTGAGTTATTATTCTCACAAAAAAATAAAAAATTAATGTTAAGTTTTTATTTTCAATGGTACATATATAATTTTAACCATGTAGAAAAATAATTTTAACCATGTAGAAAAAGAAAATGATAATAGAGTTCATCTATAGGTCCACAAGCTTTTAGAATTGCCAAACCCATCCATAAGGCTACTGAATATTTTAAGTTTATATGCAAGCATAGAGGCGTCAATTCACATTACCATGTTAGGCTCAAGTCCACCAAAAATTTAAATTTCCCAACCCAAGCTTGACCAGAACTCGAACTGTCTATAATATCAACACTATTTATCCTCTACCCTAGTAATTCGATCAAAAACCCTCATGTTTGCACCTTTGACATCTGCCCTCCACCCATCACTGTACCACACTCGAGCCCGCTGACCTCACACTTCCTCCCGAGCTTGTGCAGCCCCCTAAACTCACCAACACATCAACTTCGACCCACCCTCATCTCCATAAATTTCTAATCTTGCCTCAACAGAGAGTGAGTTTTTCTATGTTTCTATGTTGATATTCATTAAACAAGTAAAAAAAAATCATTGTAATACATTCAAACAAATATCAAAACTAAAACTAAAATACAGAGGACCTTTTTTACTTCAGATTCCTTTTACTTTGTATTTGAAATACATCCAAACAAACAATGACTCAACAATTTCTCAAGGTTTCAATACATGTGTCTAATGTTATTAAGATATGTTTATATGTGATTTCTGATAAAATTTATGTACACATTGAGATGCTTCTTGCACGTTGCCAGTTATCGCGTGAAAACCTTAGCATAAAGAAATAACCGCATGATTGTCTTTTTTAAATTGGTCTAATAGCATGTTTGAATTCAGCTAATAAAAGCCATTTTGAATTTTCATTGACCCTTATCAAATGGGCTTGCACTTATGCTGGAAACTCAAAACTCAATATCTAATAAATTCTTGTATGATTTTTTATTTATTTGCCTAGCGTTATAGAGAAATGTTTATGTTGGTATTAATGCAAAGAATCCATATATTATTTCGTTAGAGCATCTTTGCATATGTAGATATGTTTATATACATGTATATTATTTGAATTACGCAGTTATATATGTTCATCAAATCTGCACTTTGGTTATTTTCAAATAGTTGCATTTGCCTGCAGGAAGCTAAAAAATTATAATAAGGGTAGATTTAACCTTTAAGGTTTCAAAACATTTGAGTAGATGTAGATGTTTTCGATTATAATAAAG